ACAGTGCATGTGCTTCAGCTGTTGGCAGTTTGCACATACAGGAAAGGAGTGGGTACACCCTAACTTAAACTTGGAAAACTCTCCTCGTATTGTCTTATGTCTGTACTGTGACCTAAAAGGTAACTTGTACAGGAAAAAATAGGCTGTAGCACCTAACATTTGCCATGATACCTGCCTCGACAGTGACAGGTGTTAAATGAAAATACCTGTTCTCAAAAATAGCTTTGCACCACCTGTGGTTTTGAATGCTGTTCTGACATAATTAGGTTCTCCAGGTTTACCTAAACTGACACACAGGAATTCTTAGCCCTTAGTATGGGACCTTGTGTCACTGTATATCAACATCTGTGGCTGACATTTTACTGGTCCAAAGTAAGGTATTTTTCACACGTACTCCTTCAAGGAAGTTGAGTGATGTGAGACTTAGGGACGGTTGACAGGAGGCAGACAATGAGACCTCTGCAGCCCAGGGGGAGAAGAATCCCCTGCTGTGAATGCGGGGTGGAGGGAGATCAATCAAAGACATGCATCAGTGTGGGAATTGTTTTGACAATTTCTAGTCTGCGTTTCAGTTCTGTGAGCAGGGCTGCTACAAACTAATAGTGACAGGAAGAGGCTAGCACAAATGGTAGGTAACTGTTGAGTTTAAGCTTCATATTTATTTGTTTAAAAAAAAAATATTTTTTTAAAAATCACTGTGAAATTCCAGATATAATTTCAATGAATAGCAAACAGTTTTATGAATAAAGTTTATTTAAAGTCAGTGTGTCAGGAGCGCCTTCCTCAGTGATGGGAATAAGAGGTTCTGTTTCTAATAGATGTTGTTTTGTCAGATACTAAGTAGCATGTTCTGGATATCTCTGTTTCTCCCAAACTTAAAGGGTGTGAAGTTTCCATCATTTACTGTTTCTGTTGTCTAGTTAGGGGAAATTGCTTTCTAGGAAGCAATGGCTATGGATTGGAAGGTCCTTGCTGTTTGTCTTCGGTGGCGTTTCTTTACAGAATCACTGTATTTAATCTGTGCAAAATAACTGCTGCGTCATCTCAGTTTTTCATTTGCAGTTAAAATACAGAGATGAAATGCAATAACTCTTCTAATAACTGGTATGGTCAGCTTAGGCATTTCTTTTGCTTCCCCCTACACCGCCTTTTTCCCAATAATCTCTTGCTTTATAAGTACTAATCAGTGACCTTTAAAATAAATTGCGGTTTGGAATTGATGTGTCAACTCAATCCACCTCAATTACTGTGTATTTGTATCTAAAAATCTTGCCCCCACAGGAAGGCTGTACGTATGACACTGTAGTGCAGTGTATTTCTGACACTAAACTCCAGCCAATATAGATAGAAAACTCTTCCAAACTGTATATTCAGCCAGCATGTGAACAACTAACATGGTTATTAATCCCTGTAATGTGAAAGCTTTGCTGTGTGATGTTTGAGCGTGACTACCTCCATATATGTGATGCATATATTGGGGGAGCCATTTTATCCACTTTGCGGGGAGAGAATGCGTGCACACCTGCACACACACACACACAACCAGTTGGAACCAGTGGCTTCATCAGCTCCCTTTTGCAGGTTTAACCTTGCATGCATCGCTTTTCTTGAACCTCTGGGACGTCTGCTTTTTTTCAGTGGTAATTATTAGTTTTATTTTTTAAGTTCCAGGGGACCTCTAAGAAAGGGGTGAGTCGACTGGACAAACAGATGCGGAAATTCACAGATATCAGGAAAAAAAGCAGATCGGCCCATGCAGTGAAAATCAGCATTGAGGGCAATAAGATGCCATTGTGACCCTTCAGAGAATACCCCATGATCTCTGCTGTAAGACAATACACCCATAGACTCTTTGGAGACCTTTAAATTTTTTAACAACTTGTTTGGGTTTTTTTAGTGAATCTTTAAATTGTTGGTTCAGGTTCTGGTATAAAATATTGTCTGAGGACTGTGAATATGGGGACTTCTTTCTCCTGATTGTATTTAAACTTGCTCTATTGTGTCCTTTGTACAGATCACGTATTTGTTGTATTGCAACACTTTAGACAATAAAACATCTTCTGTTTTTTCGGGGGGCTGTCTGTTGATTGCTGAATGTATGTGCAGACCACCTGGTATGTGGAAAAGCTGCCAATTGTTAATTTTCTGTTTACCATTGTCCGTTTCCTCTTTATTCGGTGCTTTATTAATCGGTTGTTCTGTCTTTGGAGATCTACATGTATTGGTTTTGATTAGAAATATTGACTGTCTTCCACTCAAAGGATTTCATTTTTCATGAAAGCATGATGTAAAGTTCAAGAGACCACCAGAACAACCACTAAAAATTCCAGCAGCTTCCAGCTAAAATGCTTGACGTAAGAGAGACAGCAGTATTTCACTACTATTGATCCTCCATGTGAACAGCAAAGCCTTATGGTGACTGCTATTGGAGAACAAAGGGCTGCAGCTGAAGGGCGTTTCTGTGACATGTGATAGCATAGAGTATTTTTTAAGTAAGCCAGACTTTGGAATCAAGGTTAGTGAGACTGCTCAAGAAGACTGAGTATCAGATTGCTGGACACTTCTATTTTTGGGTGCTTTATGCAGCACTTAGATTGGCTGTGTGGAGCCTTTGCTGATACTTGCTTGGTACTGCTGTGACTTCATTTTGTAGAGTTGAAAGCCATGTAAATTTTTTTCTGTTGTTTTGCTTTGGTATTTGGGTAGCTCAAATGCGTGTTGCTCTGTAGCCCACTCGTGACTTCTGAAAGGTTTATTTTGCCAGTGGTAAGGAGAAGGTTCCTGTCTCTGCATTAGGAGGATAATATTGCTATTTCTTTGTCCCTGGTGCTACAGAGCAACATCTTGTACCTCTGCTTCTTTACCTCTACCTCTGAAAATGTTTGTGCCTGCTGAGCTTACCTACAAGAAGAGGACTCTTCTCCTTGCATGGATAACTGGCAGTTGGGATTTCACTAAGAAAGTCGCCTTTTGTTCCAGAGGAGCACAGCCCATTTGCTGTAATGTGTGTTCTGTAATTCTGTGAATTCTTTGAGGTAGGGATCTTGTTGGCTGACTTAGAGGTGCTTAAGTACCTCTGGTGTCTGCTGGCACTGATAATGGAGAGAATGTAAGTACGTGGATGGTCACGTTTTAAATATGCTCCTGTGAGACTGAAGCGGACTGACGATAAAAAAAAGCTGTATGCTGGGACATGAAGCAAAAACTGAAGGAGGATGCCTGCGCTGGATGGAGCCTACCAAAGGAATTCTGCTTGTAAGACCACTTCACCTACTCTTGCCAGGTATGCTTATGATACAGTAACCGACCTCAGGTGTGTTTTTAGCATGTGAGAGTTTCAAGGGTTTGGGTTTTTTTTTCCCATTTTTAATTAAGCATTTATTGAAAGACAGGGAATTCCTTACTGCTATATTAGTAGGTGCAACTATGTAAAAAGCGAACAGTGTAGCTATTCTTACCCGTGTTCCATTTGGCCCTGAAGGTCTATGGGGTCCCCCCCCCAACTTTTTTTGTAGTTCTGGTACTGCAGTCATGGGAGACTGTGGGCTATTTTTAAATCCTAAGAGGTGGTTCCTTAAAGTGAAGTACTGACCCTAGTGGTCTTGTGCAGTCCTAACACAGTTTCTTGCCATCAAAATTAATCGTAGTAGCTCAGCATCACGTGTTCTCTGAGGCAAACAAAAAGGTTGTGTTTCTTGTGGAATGGTAATAATGGACTTTTATAAGGCTTTGAACAAAGCTGAGGAAGAGAACCCCTCGTCAGTATGACTGGTTTTGTTTTTTAAATTAAAACTTAATTGTAAGAAAGGTCACAAAATCAAAATGTCTTTTGACGTGGGTCACAAAGACCACCTATTAATTGCAGCAGAAGGAAGCAGCAGCAGAGAAAGGTGATTCTACAGTGACAGCAATGTAGGTATTCAAAGGAGATAATTAGTTGGGGGATATTACTCTGGCCCACAGGTATTTTATTTCACCTGTGATTTTGGTGTGGAGCACTTAAACTTTTAAGTATGTGAAGCTGCTTATGATGTGTGGGGAAATCAACTTCTTAGAGGGATTGATCGTGTGTACCTAGCCATCTTTTATTTTAGGATGATAGAAAATTTGTTTCTTGCTGTGGTTGTGTGGGGTTTTTTTGTTTGGTGTGTTTACCCGCCCCTAGTATTTCATGTCTGAATTTCTGGTTTTCATCAAATACTGGGAGGTAAATTGTGTACATGAGGGGGTAGGGGGTGTCTTCAGAATAAAGAAAAGGGGTTTTGTTCTTAGAAAAAGTGAAAAAGGGACAGTTCTGTTACTTGCTACTTTTGCAGCTGTTTTGTAGTTCCACTTCTGTAGCACTCTGCCCAGAGCAGGGGTGGGGGTGGGAGCATGTAGCCCATCTTCATGCCTTTCCTCACCAGCTGCTGGGGCAGAGCTGCACCGTAAGTAGGACTGCCCCCTGAGGGTGCAGGGGGCAGAAGTGTTTCCTCACACTCCCCCCAGCCCCACCCCCCCAGTAATAATTTATTTCTTTCAGAATTCTACCATACAATCCTTTTATGTTTCTGCAGCTGGGTGGAGTCCCTCTCAGATGGTTTATCCAGTGCAGTTTGTAAATACATGATTCCATACAGACATTGTTTTTGTATCAGAAAACATTTGTATTTTAGTAAACTGAATGGTACTTGAGGTAACAGTTCTACTCAGTGACAAAACTTCACAGATCCCTAACTGCTGTGTTCAGCACAGTGTTTTATAACTAGAGGACAGACAATGCTACCAGAAATGCACTTCCTTTTCTAAGCAAGTAATTCACACAGGGAGACTTTGCCTGTTTTTGTGATACGCATGTAGGCTTGAGAAATGGAAAGCTTTTTCTTTCTCTAAACAAAACCCCCGATAGGAATTTACATTAAGAAAAGTTGTTTCCTGTGTTATTTGCAGAACAGTTCTTTATTATACACAAGTATTTTATCAATAATACTTGAATGAACAATTTAACCATTTATGGTAAACAGACTTAAAAGTTTCTTTGAAGATGATCTTGATTTTATACCATTAAGGACAGGAACTGCATAGTGTCTTAGATGGAAACACACTGTAATAATAGAATAGTCCCTGTTTTTAAAGATGGTATTAAGAAAAGTTAATGGAAAAGTTTTCCGAATCTGCTACACTTTCAACAATCTCTTTAATCCACGGGATGTAATTGGATACTCTCGTATATAGCCCGTATTTTCCTTTTTCAGCACAGCCCTCACCCCAGCTTACAATCCCCAGGAGAAACCAAGTGTTACGGTAAGACACTGTGAAAGGGCCACCACTGTCCCCTTTGCAGGCGTCTGCAACTTCAGTGTCATAACCTGCGCAGAACATGTTATCAGTAATGAGTCTGTCTGTTGACTGCTGACAGGTCTCCATGTTTACAATGGGCAGCCGGACTTTCATGAGGAAGCGCAGAGTCGAACCTCTGTCATGTGTGGCACCCCATCCACTTACCAACCCTATTCTTCCTTCTTCAGATAGCAGGGTGGCAAGGTTAGGGCTTGGAAGGCAGATGGGAATTGCGTACTCATTAAAAATAACGTCACTGCTCAAGTACAACAAGGCAATGTCACTGTTGTAGTCATTTGAATCATAATGTGGATGTGTCCAGCTCCGTTCCACATCAATCTTCTGTTCTTTGAATTCTCGTTGATATTTGTCAAAGTCTCCTGTAGTCATGACAAGTTACAATGTTAAGCAAACCGTCAATGGCCTGTACGGTATTGTCATGGGGGAGCAGGAAGGATAGTGAATTAATGCTTTGACCTTTCATCCCAAGAATGCACAGACCAAAACAAATTGTGCTCCGTAACAATAATTTCTTACATCTTTGCAGATGTGATCCTGCAAATCAAGCTTACTCATTTGCCCTTTAAGGGCAAAATACAGCTGTTGACTGGATCAATAGATACTTAAAGAGATTATGGCTTCTGGAGTAGGGATTTTATCATAAATACTGTCAATGCTTTTAGTAAGCACTGTATTTTGAGCAGTTTGTCTAGGCTTCCATGGGACTTTGTGTTTCCCCCCTCAGGAACATTGAGATGCAGCCGTGGATAAGGCTGAAGAGTTGTTTCCTGTCAGTTGTCCAGTGCTGTATTCTGTTTGCTCCTCTTGCATGTCTCTTCTGGAGATTTCAAGCACAAGATTGTGTTTATTGCAGCATTCCTGCTGCAAGGGGTTCAAATTCCTGCTATTGTAACCGGTGCTGCAGCACATTACAAGGGAGAGGGGTTTTCTGCTCTGTGGCAATTACAGGCAATGAGAAGCAGGCAGGGCAGCAGGAAACTAATCGTAAGGCTGATTAAAAAAACTGACTTGAGAGCAGAACATCACCTACAGGAATCCTTCTTCCTTCTGAGGTGTACCCTGAGATGTGCTCAGTCTCCATGTACAATGAGTTTGCCAAAATGGGTGACAGAAAAAGACGGATCTGTGCCTTATGCTCCCAGGTGGTTCTCCATGAAAACAAAAGGGACCAGCTGGAGCCCCTTTGCACTTAACTGTTGCCAAGAAAATGAAGTGTTCTGTCAATCCGAGTCAGGTTGGATGTGTCTGCCTGTTTCTCAACCATACCTTTACTGTGGTCCATACAATGTACGGTGCATTTTAAGAGATGACCCCTGCGTTTATACAACAGACACATTGTACTCACCTACGGTAACGTGGTGTGGTCTGACGAGATCAAGGCAGTGAGCAGCAGTGACCACCCAGCGACTGCTTATTAAACTCCCTCCACAGAAGCCAATATCTTTACTATTCCAGATCAAAACCTGTATGAAAGATGAGGAAGAACATGTCACCAGGGCTGTGTTAGGTATGTATGCACACTGTCAGTCTCTCTGGTCAGCTGCAGTCTCTGTATCTTGAAAATAACACTTCTGGCAACAATGACTACAGCGCACCAAGCAAAGATGATGATGATAAAACTAATAAAATAAAATGATTGCGCATCTGTGACAATGGAGCAGAATATTACGATGACCTAAGCTTGACAAAAAATCAAATAGGATTAGAGCTATGGTGTCTGGCATTCTTCTGAGGAAACGAGTATGAGTGTGATTTTTTTTTTTTTTTTTTTTTAGAGACTTGTATTTTTCCTTTCATTGGTAATCAAATTTGGAATGATCTACAGAGTAGAAAATTTTGAGAAGTAAACATGATGCTCAGTGGTAGAATTATAAGCTCTGTTAATGCCTCAGCATCTCTTCAATTATAAAGAAGTGGTTTGTTGTCTACATGAACAAGGGATAGAAAAGAGTTTTTCACTTTCCACTTTCTCAAGTGAAAGTGCAAGTAAGAGTGGAGATTCAAAGAGACTTGTATTTTTTCTTTTATTGGGCTTCAAATTTTTTTGGGGTGGGGAGAACAGTAACACAAGGTGTATTTCATTGGTACACAAGTTAAAAAGAAAAGAGCAGTGGTTTGTTGTCTACATGAACAAGGGATAGAAAAGAGTTTTTCACTTTCCCCATTGTCAAGTGAAAGTGCAAGTAAGAGTGGAGATTCAAAGAGACTTGTATTTTTCCTTTCATTGGTAATCAAATTTGGAATGATCTACAGAGTAGAAAATTGAGAAGTAGAAACATGATGCTCAGTGGTAGAATTATAAGCTCTGTTAATGCCTCAGCATCTCTTCAATTAAAGTCCTCCCGAACTTTTTATTTCCTATGTTAAACTGAAGGAAAAAGCTTAAATTTTGGTACTCTGCAGTCTCAGTGAAGTTAATAATCAAGTAGTGGAAAATGGTGTGACACAGTCTAGCCTCCTACCTTGGTCTAGTTCCTGGGGTAATGTCATGTTTTACGTAAACCATTTTACTTAATTCTATGTACTATTGATACTTTTAATTCTGTTCAGTAGCGCTAGAACAAAACATTGAAAAGTAGCAAAGAAAAATTACCTGAGAATTCTGTCTTAGGTTGTGAAGGGTTTGCAAAACCCTTTTATCTATATATATTTTTAAAATACAAGATTCAATTATGAATTGCCCGATGTAATGAAACTTCAAAACTTCCTTGATGGTAACACTTTATTTCAAGAAGAAACGCATAGGTTTCATGCATTCAGACTGTATTCCCTTCTCACAACCCAAAATCAGGTCTCGCTTGATCAAAAGGAAAGCAGCTGGTGTTCCTCCTAGAAGTGTGTAAGGTGGCAGAAACCCATACAGTTTACTAGTAGTGACATTTCAGCTTGCAAAAGAGCACAGTGACTGCCTGGCCCACACAGGTTCAGCCTACTATTTTTCCACCTGTAAAATACCTCCTCATGTGTGGAATGGGAAAATCTTTTTGTGTGACAGCAATAAAATAGACTGACAGTAACCTGAGGTTTTTTTTTAAATCAGTCTGTTAACTTTCTATGCACAAGCCCATAAACAGTAATAGTACACTGATGAAACAGAGACAATATAAATGAGTGAAAATTAGTAACAAATAAGGATGCGCGCGCACACACACACAAAAAAAAGCCCAAAACCAGGATTAAAAAAATAAGACAGTGGAAATAAAACAAACACTTCAGGGAGGTCCCTACTTCCCATGTGCCGCTTGCCTTCACATTTGAGCCCTCTCAGTTTTATCGTCCTTACCCTAACAAGTATGAAAAGCTCAACATTCTAATGAATAATATCATCTGGTCATAGTTTTGTGAAAAATATCACCAGCCATTCCAAAAGGAGTCAGAAGCACAGCTTTTCACCAAGAACATCTAGAAATAAAGAACCTGAATAACAAAGCAGGAGAAGATCTGATTGATGTAGTTAAGAGAGAAAGTATTAAGCTGAGATCACAAAAGCGCATATAGCTAGGATGGGGGAGTGATAAATAAGGCAACTAAGACGTAGCAACAAAAAGGCCTGCAGAAGTTTGAGAAATACATGTGGTTGGATTGCTCTTGCCCTGAAAAAAACTTTATGATGGCTTGATGAGCTCTGCTCCAGATGGAACCAGTGATGACAAGGTAAGAAAGCATTCAGGTGCGGTATTTATGGCCAGACTGAAAGAAAAAGTATTACCTGCCAGGGGCAATGTCCACGATGACACAAAGTTCCTCCTGTTATCCTGGAGTCATTGTGCTCTGAAGTAGAGCTGACCTTGATCTGGACGAACTGAGGCCTGTCTGAAACATTTCCCCAGTCACTGCTCCGATTAAGCCCATCACGCACGGTTTGAATGGCCCCTGTTTGGTTTTGCCCAGCAGCATTTTCCACCATTTCTTTCTGCCTGGCAGCAGGTGCTGTGGTCTCGTTCTGCCACGCAGAGTCCTGGGTGAGCTCACTCCATGGAGCCGGGCCTCTCCCGGGCTTGCCAGGCCTGGCGGTCCCCACCACTGCCTCATTGTGCTCAGGGGCACCCGCCTCCTGCCCAGCAGCACCATCCCCCAGCGGCTTCTGGGTAAGAGAGTCCACCAGTGTCTTGTTCCAGCTGGAAGCACCTCCTGCCACCTCAGTTTGTCCAGCGTCACCCTCCATGCGCATGCTCTGCCCAAAGGCATCCTTTAAGGTCTCGTTTTCCCCTACAGCACTTTGTTCCAGCTCCGTTTGCCTAACTGTGCCCTCCATGCTCTCATTCCACTTGGCTGCATCATCCCCGTGCTCACGCAGGCCTCTCAGGAGCATTTTCTGCCCCAGTTGCTCTTTCTCCAGAGCCTGCCTGGCTTTAATCAGGCCACATGGAAATGGTGCTGGAGGGAGGAAAGACAGAAATAGAGATTTGAGTTTAGGGTGCATAGTGTCGTGTCAAACTCCAACACAAAAGCAGCACTTTTCCTGTCCAAGAATGGGATTCAACCCTCCTGTAAGAGCCCAGGAACAATTCTGGCATCTTGATGTCAAGCTCCGCTTTTGCCACCCTCTCCCGCCATCATCTGACCAAGGTGTGTAGAGCTAATTACCAAGAAACACAGCACACGGCTGTGCCTTTTCTGAACCACAGGCATCAGCCACGGCTGGTACTCCAGGAGCAGTCTGCCGAGGGCAGGGCTCTCTTCAGGACAGAATCCAAACCCAGTGCTCCCCTTGTGACAGGACGCCTTAACGCAAAGTTTTAAAGACCCTTGTCATGTTCCCTCGCCTCCTAACACTGTGGTTTAGCTTCATAACTGAGTTGAGTTGATCTAAGTCCATGCTGCTGTTAGAAGGAACAGGCCCACCCCAGACTGTACCGCTGCTCCTTTACCCAGTACGTGCTCACAGGGGCACTGGATTAGAGACACCTGATTGAGAAGAACCTTAAAATTTAAAATAAATAGAATATTGTAAATAAGACAGATCTTTTCCATATGCTAAGTGCAAGCTGCAGTAGCTATAGCATGTGTAGTTCTTCTGCAGCTAGAGAAGAGGAAGAGACCGTGCCTGCAGATCAGCTCTTTACCTGAAGTAATTCCAAGCTGACCATGCTTTACCTGCTTGCACGCATCTCTTCCCGTCCTCATGCAGGGTGTAATCCTTTGCGCAGGAACATACCACATGAAAGGCGCTGCTGCTGTCCCTGCAGTACTGCCAGCACCCACCGTTCTTATACCAGCATTCAAACTTTTCTGCGATGGAAACACACAGGCATTCACTTGGTTATTACTACGCATGGACCCCTGAGCAGCGCACAGCTTCTAGCACTATTATTATATAAAAGTAGGAAAAAAATCTGCTAAAATCTCGCAGGGAAACAGAAGGAACTACCTCTTACAGTTCCAGAAAACCACGCCAATTTGTAGCAAAACCACACTGATTTGTAGCAAACACATTGCCTTATGTCTATTGCTGTCCGCCTGTTTCTACCATTTTCCTGTTTGCCAGCTTTGTCTTGAGGCCACAGCTGGGCTCCAGGCCTTTCTGCCTGTAGAGCAGGGGCAAGAAACTGCCTGGAAGAGCAAATGCTTCTAAATGCATCCATTTTTGATCCGTCTGCACATCTTACCTTTTATATCATGACAGATTTAAAGTACTAGGCATTTTGGTGGGGGCCAAGTCTGTGAGAAATTGACTGAGTTTTTTTATACATTGTTACATTAAAAAAAAAAAATCACTTTTAATTGCTTCACTGTAAAAAGAAAAGGTCGACAAAAGCACTTGGGGGAAAAAAAAATTTACTTATGATTCATAGTTTCCATGTCAGTTTGGCTTTTGCTGTAATTTCATGCCTCAGTCATTTGCAAACTGGATACAGTATTTCAGAGGACTAAAAATCTGATAAGAGATAGACAGCTTTTCTGCTTCATTTTTCATCATTTGTATATTACAACATAAATACTATTTTTTTTTTGGTTTACGCTAAACTTTGGCTAATCTGTTTGATGCATTTACTCAATAAAATTAAAAAGAGAATAGGGCCTCACGATGAACTATCTCCAGTGCAGGCGTCTATGGCAGGAGTTGTTATCCCTCTAAAGTGATAAGAAGAGGTAATTCCCTACCCTTTCTTGGGGGAAGATGGGAGATGGCCACGTGCCTTCCTCAGGGCTTGCACAGAGGAGTGCAAGAGCCCAGAACTGCAGCTGCTGTGTGACAGGAGGTGGTGCTACGCTCTTCTGCACAGCACAGCTACAAGTAGCTACAGCTGCTGTCACAATGTGATTCCCTTCCTAGGGTGGCGGTGCCCCAACAGGTCATGCAAGAAAACACTGTTCTAATGTATGAATCTTAAACAACCGACCAGTTCTGTATCAGACAGGTAAAGTCACTACTGATAACCTCGGTGAGAAGCCTGTGCAAAGGTTCAGCTCAAGTATCCAGGGAGCAAATTCCAGCCTTAATCCTTCCTTCACAATGAATGTCAATGTGTCTGTTCCCATACTCACCTTTTTCACAGGTGTCTCCTCCAAATTTTGGGGGGCAGATGCAAAAGTAATTGTAGTGTCTTATTTTGCAGACTCCACCATTGTTACAGGGATTTGTACTACATGGATTTAAACCTAAGAAGAAGAAACAAGGCATAGTGTAATTCCAGGAATTAGGAGAAGCCTGGCTTTAAACAGCCACATAGAATCATAGAATCATAGAATCATTGAGGTTGGAAAAGACCTCTAAGATCATCGAGTCCAACCGTCGACCCAACACCACCATGCCCACTAAACCA